TCACCATGTCATAGAATTAGATATTTAAACTATTAAGACTAAAATAATATTGAAATTATATCTGACCCGATATCCAAATACGAAGCCAGCATAGTCGTCATCATCTTCGGTGTTTATGAAGAACGTACCGCTGAAATCTAGTCCGCCAAAATAGTGAACACCTGAAAAACATTAATTATTTATTTATAATTATCAAAATTTATTATAATTTATTATAATTTATTAAGACTCTTTCTTTAAATTTTTAAAAATTTAAGTGTTGCTAGCTGAAACATTTACCGAGAGCCACGCCTGGATCGCTGTTGAGTGACTGCAAAATTTCAGAGCCCTGTTCAGATGTTTGTGAAAATTATCTTTTAAGTAGAAAAATAACTTAATCATTCATTTATTATCCCATTACCAATTCATTCATTCATCTACTCATCCATCTATCCAATAATCTAAACTAAAGCAAAAACGGAAAAACCCAAAAAAACCGACATTGTTTTTAACGACCCACTCCGGATCGAGTTGATTCGTGCCGACAGGATCGAGATTTATGGTCTGCAGTTTGCTGAAATCCGTGGCGCTGATTCTGTTGTTGTATGGGCACATGTCCTCCGAGTCGAATATACCGTCCCCATCACTGTCCAGCTTGCAAACGTCGCCAACCCCATCTCCTGGACATTTTTTTTTCAAGGTAAATCAATTAAAAGTAGAATTATAATCACTTATTGTAACTATAATTAATTGAATAACATAATTAAATGAGATGTAGTTTTGATGCAACTGACCATCGGAGTCCATCTGGTCTTTGTTAGGCACAAGGGGGCAGTTATCCTCCGTATCTATGATCCCATCGTTATCGTCGTCATTATCACAAGCGTCACCTGTTGTTATTATTATTATTATTATTATTATTATTATTATTATTTATCCATATTATTATTTTTATTGTTGCAATTGATTTATCATCCTCGAGAATTATTCGTGAATTTTCGTGAATTTCTGGTATTTTTCCTTTGATCAAAAATTGCTTGGTAATTTTGTTAATATTTCAGTATTTCTACTTTTTATTTATTCGTTTGTTTGTTTGTTCGGTTTGTTTGTTCGTTCGTTTGTTCGTTCGTTTGTTTGTTTGTTCGTTCGTTCGTTTGTTTGTTTGTTTGTTTATAATTTATTTTTATTATGTTTTTTACGAGTAGTGGAATGTCAGAGGATGGTGCATACTCACCGTATATGTCGTCATCGTTGTTGGCTTGGTCTGGGTTGTAGATTCTCTCGCAGTTGTCAATGTCATCTATGACGCCATCGTCATCTCTGAAGTTTTATTCATTTGTTTATTGATCAGACGATCATTCATTCTCCATTCTATCAATCATTCATTCGTTCATTCATTCATTCGTTCGTTCGATCGATCGTTCGTTCGTTCATTCATTCATTCATTCATTCATTTTATCTGTTTATTTATAGGAATAAAAAAAAGATTCAACCAACCTATCAATTTCACTGTCACATTCATCACCAACCGCATTGTGATCGCTGTCTTCCTAGATAAAAAAAAATGGTTGAACAAATAAATGAATGAATGAATGAACAAATGGATGAACCAACGAACAAACAAATGAACGAATAAATGCATGAATGAATGCATAGATGAATGGATGAATGAA